CGCCCCGCTTCGCCTTCCCAAAATGCTGGGGATAGCAGGGGCGGAGCCACCGCTGCTCCGGCCCAGTGGCGAATAAAAGTTTGTAGGTTGCTGAGTCCTCGGTTTAACAAATGGATACCACTCGAGGTGTATTGGGAAGAGCACCCACGGCGACAATGAATGATCCATGGCTTGTGTTCCAATGAACTTCTTTTATGGGACACTAAATGTGAATTTGTATATAATTTGTTCATTGTTGAAATAATTATGCGAAATTCTTTTTCAAGCATTTTAAAAAATTGTAAAAACAGCTGGGCGCAGTGGCTAACCGCGTGTTAATCTAGCACTTTTGGGAGGCCAAGGCATTGAATCACCTGAAGTTAGGAGTTCAAGGGACCAGCCTGGCAAACATGGTGAAACCCTGGTGTCTCCCTTGTCTCTACTAAAATACAAAAATTAGCCGGTGCCAGTGGGGTGCCTGTAATCCAGCTACCTTGGGAAGGTGAGACAGGAGGAGTTCACTTGAACCTCGAGGAGGCAGAGTTGCAGTTGAACCCGAGAGATGGACACTGGGTGACAGAGTGAGACTTCGTCTCAAAAAAATAAAAAATGTAAAAATGATTTTTATATATCAGGCTGTGCAAAAACAGGTGATGGGTTGGTAATTGGCGATTAGCCATGATTGAAAATCTGTTTTTTAAAAAGTAGCTAGACTCACTTGTTTTTCAATGCAGACTTGTAAAATGCAGATTCCTTTGGTCGTGGTCTGTAACATCCCTGGGGAGAAAGGAACGCGGAAGGCAGAGTGGTTGGGAGCAGCCACAAAAGAATGAGGAATGAAGACAAAGGGGTGAATGAGAAACCAATGAGAAGTGTTGGGAGATGCCATGTAACCGGTGGGGATACCCATACCCATTTTAGAACAACTTTTTTTTTTTTTTTTTTTTTGAGACAGGGTCTCATTCTCTCTCCCAGATTGGAGTGCAGTGACCAGACAACCTTCACATCACAACCTTCGCCTCCCGGGCTCAAGCGATTCTCCTGCCTCAGCCTCCCAAGTAGCTGGGATTACAGGGACATGCCACTACTGCCCTGCTAATTTTTGTATTTTTAGCAGAGATAGGGTTTCACCATGTTGGCCAGGCTGGTCTCGAACTCCTGGCCTCAAGTGATCCACCTGCCTTGGCCTCCTAAAGCGCTGGGATTACAGGCGTGAGCCATTCAGATCGGCCCTGAATTTTTGAAAGTTACCAACACCAACACTTTGTTCTTGGTGTGTGGACAGTAGAGCAGGTTGAAGGGCCAAAAAACTAGCAAGCAAACAAACAAACAAGCCAGCCTCATTTCCTTGTTT